AATTTGAAAGTGTTTTGTCTCTTGAAAAAATCACAAAATTAAAACCAACAACACGTGTCTCCCGCACCTTTCTCCTCCTCTCCCAGGGGGCCACTTCTGGTACCCACTGTCCTCGAAGGTGAAGGTCCTGGACGAGAACATGGTGCGGCTCTTCAAGTACGGCTCGTGGGCGACCAGCAGCGGCCAAGCGGACTGGTACACCATCCAGACCGTGAGTCCTGACTTCGGGGGAGACTTCTCCAACCTGTCTTGCTTCCTGGTCTACAAGGTGGGTTCTGGTGACGAGAAGAGATGTCGAGGCTGTGTAAATATTGAGCGTCTGGCAAAAATACTGCAGGAATAGAAGGATAAAATCATATAAATCATTATCGGTCATTGCACAGGACGGTAAATTTGTCTGCAAATAGCTTTCCACGTCAGATATACTTATTTTGTAACTTGTGAGGTCTTACTTCTCCAGGACGAGATCCGAGCCAACACCGACGACTGGGACGCCCTGGGCATGCACGGCAACATGTCCGGCCCGCTCATCATCGAGGGCAAGTTCTCCATGGAAAGGATGATTGGCTCTCCCGGAGATGGCCGGAAGGTCAGTGGAAATCTTCGTTACACATGTTTTCTCTCCTTCTCTTCCTTTTCATCTCTCTCTATTCACTCTATTTCTTTCTCTCTCACCTTCTTTTCCCCTTCCTTCTTCTCCTCTCTCTCTCTCTCTCTTCTCTCTCTCTCTCTCTCTCTCTCTCTCTCTCTCTCTCTCTCTCTCTCTCTCTCTCTCTCTCTCTCTCTCTCTCTTCTCTCAATATCACCAGTTTAATGTGCGTTTCTTCCTCGCAGGATCGATAAAAGTCCTAAACTTTGATGTTTCCACGCTTGAATGAGTCAGTGGAAGCCTCTACCATTCATGTGTTGAACGAGTTTTCAATCTATATTAGCTCTCATTCTTTAAAAATGGCGCGTTTTTATAATAAAAGTCGTATCGGATTCCAAAGACCTCGTTTTCTCAGAGCAACGACGAGTGCGTGGCTCCCATCTTCTCCCTGAATTCGACGTCAGTGTGGAACGGAATCTCCCTGGCGTGCATGGATGTGGCCAAAAGACACGTGACCCGCAAAGCACACGCTGACGTGGGTATGCGGGTATGCGATTACCCAACCATCCAGGTGAGTATTTTCACCACACGTTACGTGAGTATCTGGGTCGTCGTTACCTGTGTAAAACGACTCGTGCTTGGGATGATCTATATAGCTAAGGTATCTTCCAGGATTACTTTGGCGAGTGCATGAGTCACACGAATTCGTCACGAATGTTTCTGTTCAGTCTGGCGCAAGCTCTCGACAACGCCACCAACAACGGAGACTGGGAAACTCGGGAGCGAGTTGACACCGACCGCAGGTGAGCGACCGCGCGATTCGTGCGCGAATCTGGCGCAAATCACGCTTCTCCTTCTGTGAGTTAGATTATGCTATGGAAAAGGAGCGTTTGTTATAATCTTTGGCTCTGATGAGTGCAAGCATACACACACACACACACACACACACACACACACACACACACACACACACACGCACACGTACGTATACACATGTAAACACACACATAAACATACATACACATACACATAACAACAATACACATTTACATGTTGAGCTTTTTAAGAAATCGAATGGCGGCAAACGTACCGGTACGCCAGAGGATTTAATATATGTACACACATTCCAGGTCAGTGTTTGCACACTGGTTATTCCAAGCAAAGTTCATTGCTGCCAAGAACGTGTCCAAAGTTGGCGATAAGATGCTTCACGCCTGCGGGGGCTCTGGGTACAAGGCAAGTGCATAAGTCTATTAGGACAAATAGAAACAGAAAGAAAAAATACTAGGAACTTCGATTTTCTGACCTTTTTTATTTGTGCATGTGAATAGTCATTGAAAGTTAGTAGTATAAACAAAGCTAAAAAATCACTATCACATTATCATTAATATTGCTTCGTTGTGATATTCAAGACTATTTCCTTAGTTTAGAAACAGAGAAAAAGATGATTTTTTAACTTTTTCCTCTCTTTCTGGTAGACTGACCTTGGCTTGGAACGGCTGCTGCGGGACGGCAAAGCGGGCTGGGTCATGGCGGTGTCAAACGAGGTCACAAGGCAGTTAGTGGGAAAGACAGTGCTTGAGGGGCTAGGCGTGCTCGACATCTGGTGAGGACAAGTGCCTTCGCTGCTTATCAGAGAGATAAAATGTATCTTTTTTTTTCTTTCGGCAACCAAGGTCAATTTTTTCTTGATAATGTTCTAAGGTTTATGTTTAAATTCCAGTGTGAGGAGGTGTTATTTCAAAATATTTAGTTTTTTTCTGAAGATTTTTGCAGTACTAAGCGAATAAAATTATGTATCTTTCATACTATTTGTGTGTTTATATATATATATATATATATATATATATATATATATATATATATATATATATATATATATATATATTATATATATATATATATATATATATATATATATTATCATATATATATATTATATATATATATATATATATATATATATAATATATATATATATACAACATACACAAATATAAATAGTGTACCTGAAACCATTAGGGACCAGAAACCGAACGAGCGAGCCATCCACCACGAGATCAAGAAAATGAGCATCGAGGAGCGCAAGAAGCTGGCCGAGGAGCTTCTAGAAGACGTCGTGGCCGAGGAGAAGGGCGAGGCGAAGCACCCGTTCCAGGACACGGACTTCGACAACCCCTTCAACACGTGTGCTCCGGCGGCCAACGGCAAGGCAAGCGGGGACCATCCTGCTTTGAAAGGGCTTAGATTTGTCTTTATCTTTTTATCATTTATTTATTATTTTTAGTTTTTTATTATTCATTTTTAATTTTTTACTTTTTTTTATTATTCATTTTATTATTTATTTTTTATCATTTTATTTTCTTATTTTTTATTTTTTTATTATTCTTTTTATTATTTTGTATTTTTTTTTTTTTTTTTATTTTTTATTTTTATTATCTATTTTTTTATTATATTTATTTTTATCTTTATTATTTATTATTTTTTTATCATCGTCATTCTTATATGGTGTGTTTTGGTGATATAAAACGTTGGATTGTCTATTATCTACTATTTTTTCAGTATCATCATCATCATGATGGCATATTACCATCTCTATTATCTTCACTATTATCGTAATAGTATTATCATTGTTATCATTATTATCATTATCATTATCATCATCATTGTAATTATTATTATCATTACTATCATTATCATTACTATTATTATCATTATCATTATCATGATTATCATTATTTTCATTAATATTATTATCCTTTATCATCGGTCATCTTATATATTATATATATCTTTAATGCTATTACATGTGGCAATGATGCAACTTTTCTCTTATTTATTAACGATGCGGAGAGACATAAGAAGACAGGAAACAAAAGCGAAAATGAGAAAGAGGAGAAGGAGAGGCAGAAAATGAAGGAAGGAGAGGAGAAAGTAATGGGTGGGAAAACGAACAGGAATAAGAGTGGGAGAGGAGAAAAAAAGGGAAGAAGGAGAAGATGAGATAGAGGCTTAGAGAGAGACAGAAGGAGAGAGAAAAAAAGATATAGGTCGAAAAAGAGAGAAAGGACGGGGGGGAGGGAGAAAGAGAGAGAGAGAGGAAGAGGAGAGAGAGAGAGAGAGAGAGAGAGAGAGCTAGAGAGATAGTCACTCGTAAAATACCCATCAAAAAAAAAAAAAAAAAAAAAAGCTTTGAAAACCCGATCGACTGATCTGCGCACCAACCTAAACCCAAGACGAAAAGAGACGGCACCCACCAACGCTATCCTCATCGCTATCCTCATCACCCAGGTCCTCAAGACAGACGACGGGGAGGAACACGAACCTGCCCTGAACCCTGACACTTGGACGCTGCTGACACTGAAGAGCCAGAACCCAGTCAGCGATAAGATGTCTTCCTTTGACTTCGCTCTCCCGAAACCCACGGATCACACAGGTTGCTTCACCGGCCAGTACGTGAAGGTGAGTGACTTCAGGGAACAGGGAAACGCCATGCTTCAGTGGGAGTGTTCTTTTCATTAACCGTAGATGCTGACGGATGAAGTGGGGGAGGAAAGGAAGAGGAGAGGGAAAGAGAGAGGGGTGGGGAGGAAGACTGACAGGCGAGGAAGCGTTTTTCGTGATAAGATGTCTCAGAATTAGGTACTATAAACCCATGCTTTTTTTTCAAAATATCTTAGTAAAATCATGCCTATTGAAAAGAAGAGAGAGAAGAGAGAGAAAAGAGAGAGAAAAAAAAAGAGAAAAGAGAGAGAGAGAGAGAGAGAGAGAGAGAGAGAGAGAGAGAGAGAGAGAGAGAGAGAGAGAGAGAGAGAGAGAGAGAGAGAGAGAGAGAGAGAGAGAGAGAGAGAGAGAGAGAGAGAGAGAGAGAGAGAGAGAGAGAGAGAGAGAGAGAGAGAGAGAGAGAGAGAGAGAGAGAGAGAGAGAGAGAGAGAGAGAGAGAGAGAGAGAGAGAGAGAGAGAGAAAGCGAATAATCTTGGCTAAAAAAAAAAAAATTGATCTGCCATTTTACCGAAGTGACTGCACACTCGCTCCTCAACCCAACAGGTTCGCGTGACCTTCAAAGGCAAGGAGCAGGAGCGCTACTTCTCGCCCGTGTCGCGTCCGGACGACTTCGGGCGCATCGAACTCGTGCTCAGGTTCGAGTCCCAGGGCCTCATGTCCCAGCACTTCAAGGCTCTCAAGCCTGGTGAGTCTCCCGGCCTAGCATCTGAAAGTTCATGGTGTTCTGTCAAGGAACGCCTTTATGAAGTTTATTTTTCAGAACTTGTGAATGGAATAGGCTTTAAATTTAGCTGTGAATGAAATACCATTGAGAATAGGGTTTTAAAGCTTATCAAATGAGCGTTTCCAGGTGATAAGGTGGAGTTCCAGGGCCCTTGCGGAGGCTTCGAGTACGAGGCGAACCAG